GTTTGGTTTTGCTCCACGATTTCGGCTGGAATGCAAAGGAAGCCCATACCAAGCTGGTGGATACATACGGTGAGGACGTCATCTCTTACATGACATGCAAGAATTGGTTCGCCAAATTCAAGAAAGGAGACTTTTCTCTCGAAGATGCTCCGAGGTCGGGTCGGCCGATGGAGTTGGATTTGGAAGTACTACGTTCCACCGTGGAGGAGGACCCGTACCTCACCACCAGAGAAATGGCGACCATGCTTAGCTATGATCATTCGACGGTTGCACGTGGACTAGAAAAGCTCGGCAAGGTAGCAAAGCTTGGTCGATGGGTCCCACATGAACTGTCCGCTTATGACCTCTCGAGGAAGGTGACCACCTTGCGCTTTCTCTCCTTCACATTTTTAAAACAGCGCCTTCACTATTCTCAACTCGATGATCACTGGAGATGAGAAGTGAGTCCTCTACGATAACCCTGTGAGGAAGCGGCAGTGGGTCGACAAAGGAGAACAGCCAGAAGCCACCCCAAGGCCGACCTTCATCCCAAAAAGGTTCTCCTGTCCTGTTGGTGGTCCAGAAGAGGCATGGAGTACTGGGAGCTGCTGGAGAAGGGACAGACGATTGACTTCCACATACGTGACCCAACTGGAGGAAATTGAAGTCACGAATCGACCGTACTTGCTGGAAGGAATGCGAGAAATCTACTATCGCACCCATGAAAACGCGCGACACTTCACACTGTCGAAGGCAGACCCAGGCCGAGTGGCAGAAAGTACGGATGCTGCATGGTCGCCCACCTCCTACCAACCCCTACCTCAGGCTCCTTCTGACTACTGGCTGTTCAGCCACCTGCAGCGCTATCTGGACGGAAAAAAAGTTCGAAACAAAGGATCAGGAAAGGGCGCTCGACGACTTCTTCAAGTCCCAGCCTCCGTCGTTCTGGAAGGATGGAATCGACAAGCTGCCTGAGCGCTGGCGTCGAGTAGTGAATGGTGATGGTGCATACCTCTAATCTCAGCTGGTTCGTTTTTAGATAGTTGGACAAAAAGTCGTGTCATGTAGACACGTATGCGGAACAACCTAGTAGTTCTTAAAAGCACATGAGGAAAACAGACCAGAACGAAAACGCCATGGCAGCGAACATAAGAAACAGAGGCAATGCAGAGAATATCGCCAATATGAATGCCTTGCGGACTCCCATTTTCCTCGCATCTTTCAATTCTTTCTCATATCTGAAGAATAGTTTTGGCAACATTTCATTTCGCGGTCCTCTTCCACCCCTCCGAAATTAATTTAATTAATCAACTGTAGTTTTCTACAATCACTTACCGATGAATCTCAAATGGCTGAGCATTGAACGCCATCACCGTTCGTATTCCAGCAATCAAGCTTCTTGTAATCTTGCTAAATGCGCGCCGCTGATGCATACCAGCATAAACTTCCATTTAGCGCGCGTGAAAGTAACGAACAGTCCATTGCTCTGGTCTTGCTTGCTTTTCGCTGCCTGTACCCGGACTAACACGCACAGTGTGTGGGGGCACACCGCCCCCCACCGGTAATCAGCACTTTCACCTGACCCGAAAAGCTTCAACAGCTTACGTCCACCCAAGGCCCAAAATTCTTGCTACCACTGAAATTAGTACCCGGTCACCGGACCAATCTGTAGAGTGCCTGTTTCATTTATTTTGGATCTCTTCAAATCCATTTCAAAAATTGTTACCAGTAGCAACAAACGATGCAAAAAACTTCCGCTGGAATTTGCATACAGCGGTACCGGCTCAACTTTTGCGAACTTTGTGGAGCGAAATGTGGCAAGGCATCCGTCCGCTCGATCAACCTTCCCACTTTTAATGTTAGCCCTCATCTGCATACGTCGCGTTTCGTTACCTGGCTTCGATTTACCACTAACTACGCACATAGGAACAATACAGGGCCGTTTCCAACCATTTTTTGAAACTTTGAGTTTTTAGTAGAATTTCCGACACGAACCACACCCGCAGTCTGCTCATAGTAACGAAGAAGCAAACCGATTGTAGTCGACTTTCCACATCCAGAGTGCCCAACCAATGCCACCGTCTCGCCAGGGTTCACCTAAAAGTTTTTCAGGAGCCACTGAAGTTGTTTCATAGCCCATGCCCTTACATACTTCATAGTTCACACCGTCAAGCACTTTCACAGTCGGTCGTGACGGGTAGCTAAAATGAACATTATTGAACGATATACGTCCTACAAATTCTTCCGGTGTGAGACCATCATCACTCATCGGGTCGATATCTGGCACCTGAAATAGATACCGAGGATCTCGTCAGCAAAGCTGCCATATGCTGCAATTCACAAAGGAAACGCCTACCCTGTCTATGATGGCAAAAATGTCGGTCGCAGCCGTTTTCGCTCCCAGGAAAGCTCCCATTTGAGGAGCAGCATCACTTAGACGGCGCGTTCCCAGGAGCACTGACCAAAAAACAGCAAAAATTGTTCCCGGCGTCACAGTGCCAGCTAGAACTAGAGTGGTACCGTACCTGAAAATACATGCACTCAGGCTCTAACTGTGAGTGCAGACTTAGTTTTTAAAAGCATGAGGAAAACAGACCAGAACGAAAACGCCATGGCAGCGAACATAAGAAACAGAGGCAATGCAGAGAATATCGCCAATATGAATGCCTTGCGGACTCCCATTTTCCTCGCATCTTTCAATTCTTTCTCATATCTGAAGAATAGTTTTGGCAACATTTCATTTGCGGTCCTCTTCACTCCGCAAATTAATTTAATTAATCAACTGTAGTTTTCTACAATCACTTACCGATGAATCTCAAATGGCTGAGCATTGAACGCCATCACCGTTCGTATTCCAGCAATCACTTCATTTGCTAATGCGGCCGCTGATGAATACGCATAAACTTCCATTTTAGACGCCCGTGAAAGTAACTGAAAGTCACATTGCTTGGTTTGGTTTGCTTTGCTTTGCTAGCTGCTAAAATGGGAAGTGTGTGGGGTCAAGGGTAATCCAGATTTCCTGAGAATAAGTGTAGGTTTACGTCCAAGGCCGAAAATTCTGCTCACGAATTAGTAACGTCACGACAATTGTAGAGTGCATGGTTCACCACATGATCTCTTCAAAATCAAATTCCAAAATCCTTCAAATCCTCTCTCCTCCTTCTCCTATCCTTCTGCAAAAGGTGCTTTAGTTTCTTACAGAAACTGCAGAACCTTTCGCAAAATTTGTAAACCAGCTCATATACTACAAAGTCGGGCACT